AAAAAAAAAAAAAAAAAAGAATCATGAGGAAAGACCTAACACTTTACCTACTTTACCCTACTGCCTTTTCTGCCTAGATTCCTCTCTCCCTTCTCTCTCATCCTAGAAAATAACCCTAAATCTCATCCTGCCAACTCACAGTGCCAGGCCTGGACTAAGGGGCGCATGTTAACATCATCTCATTTTATTTTTAGGCCTCACAGTAGCGTCACCTGATACTGTTTAGGGTGCCGTGTGCTCCCCCTGTCCCTTTAAGAGGGAGTAGTCACAGTTCAACAGAGAACGCCTGGACCAGACAACACCCTCCAAAGCTCACAGAATGGGGTAACCAGGTACATCTTCCACAAACTGCACTGATCATCCAAGCACCATTTACAATACCAAAAACAAGACAACACAGAAATCCAAGCACATGCACCCTAAATATCCAGCAACAGTTATTATACCATTAAAATAATGTTACACATGAAAATACTTATTGGCATGTAAAATAACAGTGTCAATTTTTAAAAAAGGAAGTGGCAGTCGCCCAGTTTTGCTTGTCATGTGTGAACACGCACATACACAAAGGTTTGGAAGTATTACCAAGGTTTAAAGTATTTCTCCCTTAGATAAAGGTGCTTGGACACTGTAAAATATTTTCCTTTTTTTTGTTTATCTGAATTAGCTAATTTTTTATAAAACACATACATGGCCCATTGGGAGGAAAAAATAGGTGACTTCTTAAAGCTAAGCTGTATCTCCTCTCTCCTTCCTTTCTTTGTGGTAGATTTTGTCAACGGGAGCAGAATTTCTCTTTCCACAATACTAATACCTATTCCACAGGAGAAAGCAGCTAACTGTAAGGTCCTCAGTCTGAGTGTTGTTCAGGCGGAGGGCACTGAGAAGGGGGTGCCACTTGTCACTGAGAACACTGTTTCCGTATTCTAAAGCAGTTCTGTACAGAGACATCCGTCAGTCATAAGCTCAGGTAGTTGTCACACTTAGAGGAGAGAGAAAGAATCTTAAAAACACTGACCACCCAGTTATTATATAAGTAAGCACAAGGCTAGGCACGATTTTTTATTTATTAGATCATAGCTGTACATTGATATTGTCACTATTTTTTAATTGTCCTCCTAAAATAACTCTGTTCACTATTATTATTCCCATTTTACCAATGCATAAGCTGAGGTATAAAATGATAACTGAAAATTCACACCATCAACTAGAAGAGCCAAGATTAGAGCTTCCCCATGACAGACCTGAGCTCTTTACGTCACTGTGGCCCCTGCCAAGCTCACTGATTGATGAGACTGTGAGTCTAATCTGAATCACTGTAAGCCACTCTCACCTTATTGGCAACAGCGTTCACACTCGGCCGAGCATCAAAGATAAAGATTTTGTGAGACTGGGCGTTGGAGTCCATGATGGCTTGAAGGTATTTTTCATCTTCTTTGCTTCGCTTTCCGCTCACTCCGACCATGGGCTGGCTACATCGTGTGATTGTGGCTTGACTTTCAGGATGAATCCATGATAAAACCTCAGTGAGAGAAAAATGGTAACACCCTCCTGATGCTTTTCTGTTACACTCAATAAACTCTCCTTCTAATTGGATCCTAAGCCTGGCCACGAAAGGACATCTGAGGCTACAAAGAAAACTCATCACCTCCCTTTCAAGTCAACTCTGCCATATGGAAAATTTGGTCTAAGTCTTTAGTCAGATAATGATTCAGGAAAGTCAATGATTATTGAGAATTGTTGTCTCTACAAAAAAAAATGCACTGAAACAGGGCTAAGTTCCACTATTCAGCTCTTTACAATCTATTAAATTTATGCCTAAATTTGAGCTCTGAACTTCCCAGGATCCTGTTATTCTCATAAATTTGTTAAGTGTTTTTCTTTCTATGGCTTAAAGGAACATGGCTAAAAAAAGTATACTAAGATAAACAAACAGTGAATAACATGCAGGGCAAATGTTCTCTCTCAGTGCCGTTATCTAACAGCCTTGTCAGAGTCTGCATTCTCTCATTCTGCGATTAATCTCAGCATTACGTATCGTATAGAAGCATCTGCAAAGTTCATCAAAGCTTCATACTTACTGGGATACGACCCCTTGATCTAAAAGATGCCACTCTCTTTAATTCTTCATCAGGAATATTTGCCGGCACAACTAGGAGGGCAGGGTAAGTATCACAAAGTTCATATCGCTCATTTATCTTTGTTATTCTCCAGCTTTCATTTGGAATTCCCTACGTGTGAAATAAAACAAAAGACAAATTATCTAACTGAAGCACTAAAAGACATCAGGGCAAAAGCTATCCTACCCAACCTCTCTTATCTCCATGATACAAAGTGCTAGAATTTTTATTGCCTGCCTGTGCTGAGCAGGCTTTTATGATTAGATATTCTATATTCTAAGGCAGGGCTACGAGTTCATTTTGGCACCTCATTTTGTTAACAGATTTATTAATTCATTGAATATTGAGTGTGGGTCTGTGCACAGCCCAGCTGCAGCCCTGGGGCAGGACCAGGCCTAGTGCAGAGGTGCTGAGGGGAGACCTGTGTGGCTGAAGCAGGGAAGGAGGACGGGG